ACGGGGAGCGCAGCTTACAAAAAAAGATCCAAAAAAAAAAAGAAATAAAAAGAAACAAAACAAACCCCAAACTGTTTTGTAGGACATGTTTGCTACAAATGGCAAGGAAGATCTCAGCGCTAACACAGCTGACAAAACCCTCAACTGGGATTACACAAGAGTTTTCCCACACTACTGCAGCAGAGCCCAAACTGGAGTTGTTCCCCATATCCATGGGAAGAGGTTCACCTTGAGCAGCTCAGATATGGCCCTGAGGGGTGCRGGGCACCAACATTAAAAGATAAGAGTTTTTTTTCCATGGTAACAGTGTTAGAAAAACTATTGCAGAGGAACCCTCCCTGTCTTGGCTCAGCTCCTGCCATTTTAATGTTTCCTTTTGAATTAAACATGGGAAATTAAGAGAGGAATGAGCCACTTAGTTCAGATCCAGCGTCAAAACTTCCCCAAGTGTGTGTGTGTAACTTKGGTGTTATCTCTTCTTTAGCATAAACAGGATAGAGGGGACAGATTTGCACAATTAGGAATAAAGGGTGTCAATGACACACCTGTATGCCAAGAAATCTATGAAATCCAACTTAAAACAGTTTGAGAGAGTGTTTTAGAGATGGGAAAAACACCCAAAGCTGGTGTGGCCCTGCAACTCCCATCAAGTCCCCACCACACAGATCTTTGGCAGGCACTGATGTGAGCAGGTATCTGTCACACTCCTGGCAAAGACCAAACTCTTTCCTTCTGTCACCTTCTTTCTCCTCTTGCCTGAACTAAACAGACTTCAGTGCTTTAGTGTGAGCTGAGCAGGTCCATCCAGAGCCAGGGGGAACCAGGCTCAAGTTCCTGTGCAGTTAATGAAAATATTTCCCTTATCTGACCTGCTGAGCAGCAGCACAGCTCACCACCTTGCCTGCAATATTTGCAACGATTAAAAGGAATTAGGAAGGAACTGCAACTGAAATTTCACACTGATCCTAAGGAATGCAGCTGTCTGCTACAAAAGCAAGGACACTGGCACCATCCTCGGCTTTGGGAGACCAGCACAGAGAGAGCTGGGACCAGCAGGAACCAGAGCTCCAGCCAGAGGATTTTTGTAAGTTGTGTCTGCAAAGGGCCCTGCAGAGTCTCAGGGGTCTTATCAGCAATCCCCAGGCTGGCAGGAGTTGAAGCAAGGCAAAATGAACGCTCCTGGGACATATTCCTGTGCAGAAGAGCCCTTCTTCGGCAGGAAGACAGGACGGGATGTGACACAACTGGTCTTTTCTATCCTTGACGTCTGAGATTCAGAGGCAGCGCCCATGAAAGACCAGAGGTGCTCCCTTTGAAGTCTGTGGGAATCCTGGTGTGCACTTGACCCACAGCCAGCCTGCTCGAGGAGGGCTCTGGGATCTGCTGCAGCTCCCCAGAGTGTCACTGTCACCCACCAGACACGGTGGGAGCTGGTTCTGACAYGGCACAGGAGAGG